GCGAGTTCATTTCACGTTTGTCCTCCAGAGCCACCGCTACACGTACCGCAGCCCTCCTTCCCAGAAAGTGGCTGGACGTGGCCTGCTGACGGGAGGTTGCCAGTAAGATTTTTGGATTCACTTTTGCTTCCGCACTGGGCTCTTTGCTTCATTCACCTGTCTTTATCTGACCCACATGCCCGTTGTGATATTTTCTCTCTCCTGTCCAACTGAGGGGCTGAGAGCGATAGAGTGGCTTTGGGGGACAGTTCACATCTGGCCAGGGCCAAACCACTTCAACCATCCACAGCTCTGTCCTCCTCCCACAAATCCTCACCTCGCTTCCACAGCTCCTACCATTTCTGTTTCCTCTCGGGCTCCACACAGAGCTCCCCTTTGACATCGGCCGGTCCCACTCACTTCACTCACTACACTGTCAGGCAACCTACGCCTCTGCTTCTCCCTGCTGGTTCTTCCATTCTGATTGGCACCCGTGGGCTCCTACAGCCCCAAAAGCAGATTCCCAGGGGACTCCGCTACGGAGCTCCCCAAACAGCTGATCGTTCCCTGCCCCAAAGTCCAGGAAAACACCTCTGCTGTCTTTTTTTCTCATTACGCTGACTAAATTAACCTCAAGCTTTGCACGATCACCACGGCCAAGACGAGCACCTGCCATCAAATCTCCCACGAGTCCTCCTCTATTCCCAAATAGCAAGTCCACGAGGGCATCTTTCCCACTTGGCTCCCTGAGGCCCTGTGACAAGAATCCATCTCCTACCCTACCTCCAGATTTTCCTACACCAGCTCCTGCGAGCGGTAGATTAGTCCCATTTCACCCCTCAGGGACTGAAGTCGGCCACAAGGACGAGAGCTACCGATCCAGACGCTACTCCTCATTACCAATTGCAGACCTCTACTACTTGGTCCAAAATCAACATTGTCTCGACCTTGTCCTCAGGGGTACGGACAGTACAGCACCCCCAACATTAGACCGTAATCTTGCCATCCGTCCGCAGTGGCGTGCCCGAGAAGCCGTTCCTGATCCTCAGAATGGAATGCCAGGCTCATAGGGTCATGGTGCCCCAGGCATGGCAAGGATAAAAGCTGCATCTGGCAGGAAACGGCAAAACGTACAGATGCCGGTCTCTGCCTCTTCCTTCCAGAAACCTTGTCGTGGGAGATACCGGCCAAAGGAGGGAGACTCGCAGAGGCTACACAGCTCTGCTTTGGCTACAGACAGCTGTGCTGTTCCCCAGTGCCAAGGACCGGCCTAAAAACCGTTATCAAGACGGACCGATCAGCCTCCCTGGAGCCAAGAGGAGGCAGAGCTACAGAGGAGGAGGAAGGTGCGCTACTTGGCATAGAAAAGGCCTCCTCAGCACCCAAACTTCAGAGACTTTCACCACCGAGGATCACAATGATCGTTAGCACCGGCGAGAGGCTGCCGGGACCTGGGACCGCAAGGATGCCTTGCTCTCACCGTACTCGCCGTGGATCTCTTTCCTCCTTTCCATTTACTTTCCCTTTTGCTTTCACCCTCTTTACCTATCGCACGCCACGTTACGGGCAACCAATACAGTTTCACCGTTCGATTGCTGCAAACCCCTTTGGCGTGATCGCCTTCTTGTTGGACTTCGAGATCATGGCGAACGTACCTTCACACTTGGTCCAACTAGACCGTGACCAGAACGCATCCTATCCAGACGGTCATTAGTAGACACCCATGTCCCGGTGCTCCCTGCCTCCCCCCTCTGGACTATCTCCTGTTCATGGGCACAACAATGCCTTATCGCCCGACCCATCGATAACTCGCTCCTGGGCTATCTCCTGTTCATGGCCCATCAAGGAACTGCCTCACGACTCCCCATCCCATGGTGAGATGCTCCGCCCGGGGAGGGGGGGGAAGGAGCCAAGCAGTCCATGCCAAACAGAAACGGAGATTTTGAACACCCTAGCGGCCTTTCTTCCACTGGATTCCCAGAGGACAAGAGCTACCTACCTACCGCTGGACCTTCGGAGGAAGACGAGACTCTTTTACCTGATCGCTGCTTCCACAGAACGACATCCATCGCTTCAGGAGGACTGCAGCCAGCATCTTATCAGACTGCTAAGGTTGTATTCCGCGCTGTGTCCGTGGAAACCAGTGGGTTGTTTGTTTTTCCCTGCCTTGTGTTATATATATATATATATTTTAGTAAAGAACTGTTATTCCTATTCCCCACATCTTTGCCTGAAGGCCCGTTAATTTCAAAATTATAATAATTTGGAGGGAAGGGGGTTGCACTTTCCGTTTCAAGGGAGGCTCCTGCCTTCCTCCGCAGACACCTGTCTTTTCAAACCAAGACAACCCACTACAACATCTCCTTGAATTCCCATCCCCCTACTCCTCACCCAGAGACTCTCAAAGACTGCACGGCAAACAGTAAGGGCCGTACCATCGCGCCTCTCCCTTACGCATAGCGCAACACCTCCGGCACGCCCGCCGTGCCGGTCGGTCCCAAATGGGCCGCGGCCCTCTATCCCAGCACTCGGACGGTGGGTCCTTCCGCCAAGTCTTGCTATTAGGGGTCGTATCCTAGTTCTTAGAGCCAATGGACGCTCCCGATTCTTCCAGGGCTCTTCGTGACCTTCACCGCCAACCCCCTGCCCACCCTGGCACAAAGGGCCCTTGCCAGACAGGCGTCCACAGCCAACCCTCACTGGTATATCAACTGCTCCCATAACCCCACCCCCCTCCCCCAGGGAGCCCTCCCTCCAGGGTTTCTCCCACCAGCAAACAGCCCGCAGTCTCCAGGAGCGACGCCGCTCCCACGACACAGAGACCGCTCCATCCCTCGCCAAACGGCACCGCGACAAGACTGCCGCCAACGTGCCGGACTCGCCCCGGCGCTGCCCGTCCGCCCCCCGATGCCAAAGACCTCGGCTCCTCGCTCCGACCGCCCGTTTCTCTTCCTCTCCCCCACAATGGCAACTTCCTCCCGCGCTCCATTACAGCCACCAGCCGGCCAGGCGAGGGGACAGGGGGGATAGGCACACAGGCCTTCAGCCATTACACTCAGAGGTCACTGACCTACTCGTTGCCCACCTCCAGGCATCGTGGTCCTCAGCTCTCCCTGGGACTCCACCCAACACCTGGGGTTCTACCTGCCCTTCTCACTATAGCTTACTACTCCCTCCTCCCCACCACCTATCCCAACTCATCCGACCCACCCCATGAAGCGCTGGCACTCCTCCATCCTCCAGCCCTGACCCGGGCCCTGGGCACACACCTTCCGCAGGCCCCACCCGGCATCCCAAAAACCCCGCTCCCCGACCCTCCCGGGGACCCCGTCCGGCCCCGGCATCCTCCCGGCCCCGGCACCCTCTCCCCATCCCCGCCACCGTCACACAGGACCGCTCCACTTACAAAGGGTTACAACACTTTTTATTCCCACGCAGCCATTTCACAGAGTACAAAGACAATACAAGACACAGACTCCGACAGCCCCCCACATGCCCACCGGCACCCCGAGGCAGCTCTCGAGTCTCCCGCCGGGCACCCCGATGCCACCCTGCGCCCACGGACCCCGAACCCGCCCTCGCCTCCAAAACGACCGCCTCCGAGACAGTGCACCGTGCAATCGCAGGAGGGATTTCTGTCCCAGCTTTCTCTGCCTTTTGCTCCTGCCCACTAAAAACCACATTTCTCCAAACATTAGGACCGGCCCGTTACCATCACAGCACGTTCACAGACTTCCCAGACCCCCAGGGACGAGCTCGGCCCTCAGCCACACGCCACAGCGACACCTCTGCTCCAGAGAGCCAGGGGATGACACGCTCCCGACGTATCACACCGTACGAGGACAACGACACGGCGCTCCGCCCCGGCCCGCGACCCGTGCCGCGACACCTACCTCTGTCCCAGTCCAGGCGCTCGCAAAATACCGACGGCGGCTCCCAAAGACCGTGAAGACTCGCAGCCATCCATGAAAGGGGACAGTACGCGCCCCGGGCCATCCCACGCTACAGACGGGGATGCGGGCCACCTACGGCGCAAGCTACAAGGAAAATCCTGGCAAAAAGCTGGAAAAAAAACCCCTCCAGTCCCACATCAATGATGGAAACCTGCAAAAAAACCCCTCAAGTCCCACCTCAATGCCGGACACCTGCAAAAAAACCCGCAATTCCCACATCGATGCCAGACACCTGCCAAAAAAACCCCAAAGTCCCACATCGATGCCAGCGAACGTCCAGCTCTGACTCGCCGTCTCTGCCGCCGTGCCTCCCACGCAGCACCTTCACGTCCAGGTCCACGTCCCATCTCGCTCCGGATCGAGTCCCTCTCTCGTCACCACGCGGAACAACAGGTCGGCGGCAGCTGCGGGGGGTGCCATCTCCTACCCTACAAAGACTCCGGCTGACGCAAGAACAGTACTCAGCTGGGCGGCAGAGCCGCACCTACGAGGGCAGGTCCCGCAGCGCT